AAGTTGCGCAGTAATGAAGCTCCAACCTCACACTCAGGAGGTGCGGGCTGGAAGGCCCCCTCCCCTGACACCCCACCCTCAGGCTGGCCCACACCCACTCATCCCGCCCTCCCACAGGCCATTGCGCTGGTCCTCATTAAGGCCTGTGATGAAAGGCACAGGGTTGTTTTTCAGACTCGGCAGTGAGTTATTGATCAACACTGATAGTGCGAGAAGCTCACCTCACCCGGACTGGCAGAGATTAATGAGCTTGATTCCCAAGCATAATCCTAATTAGGCGCAAGGAAGAAAGGAGAGAAACACAAAGGCCCTATTCTTCCCAGACAACCACCGGCCTTCTGTCCAGGGGTGGAGAGGGAGGAGCAGGAACCCGAAGGGAGAAGCAGGTAAACGTGTCCCAGCACCTGAGTGCTCCCTGCCTGGTGCACGCCCGGGGCAGCCAGCCCCTGAGCACAAACAATGGCGAGGAGGGACGCCTCCTGCAAGGATCACACATGAAAATGTACGCGTTTTCCTTGCTTTGCTCCCTGCCCACTGGTGCACAGGGAGGCACGGTTAAGCGGGAGGCACCTGCTTAATTTGAAGTACCTGCTCGAGGCTTGCTCAGCCGTGGGGACTGAGGATGCTGCGGTGGAGAAAGAACTCAGCTCCGTTGGGCTGGGGGGCAAGGCCGGAGGGGAAGGGGTAATGGCCTGCGACCTGAGCAGAAATCGTGGAAAGAACCACTTTCTGCAGCTGGGAAGCGGGAGCCAACTTCTTCTATTACTGGAGTTTCCTAGAACTTTACAGCCAGGATGGATGGCCCAAATGGCTCTTCACAGGTGGGGAGGGCAACAGAAGGTAGTTGGGAACCGCGACGTAGCAGCCGTGAGATTTGTAACCAGCTTAACACTGTGAGCTGCAGTCTCCTCTTGTGCAGAAGGGGGATAATGAACGCCGTGCTGGCTCACGTGATGGCGGTGAGACCTGAGGAACTCAGAGGGCCTGGCACAGAGCGGCCCTTCCTACCCCTAAGGAGAGCAAGGCCGGGAGCAGCCAATCAGACACCGAGGCCTTGCCGCCTGCTCCTTAGTCACCAGCACGCGCTCAGTAGGCCTGACCGTGTGTTGGGCAGCTGGGGGCCCTGCCATCGTGGAGATCACAGCGCCTGGGAAGACAGGTGACAGGAGCCGACGGTGTGACAGGGAATCACAGTGGGCGGGGACCCCGCCGGGGCTGACAGCCAGGGCAGGTCACACGGCCGCTGGAAGGAGCACCGCTCCGAGTCTGACCAGGAAATGGGGAGAGCTCGAGGCTACAGGATGGGCTCCAAGGGTTAGTAACAACAAGGAGTCGCTGTGTCTGCGGTAGGCAGATTGCAAACGGAGAGAAGGCCTGCCCCACCAACCTC